GCGAACTGCTTTCTAGTAGACTAATGGTGCTTCGTTTTAGCAGGACCTGTAGCTGCTGATCAAAGACCAGCCAGCCCCGCCAAGCCCGAGCGTCCACGTGTGAAAGCCGTAAGCGTTCAAGACATCCGAGAGGCTTCAGGGACACCGAGGTGGTAGGGTTGGCGCCTGGCTGAGAACAAGGTAGCGGTCGAGGGAAAGAATCATTTGGGCTTTTGGCTCCTTTCCTTGCTTCCGGCTTTGGAGTTTTGGTGTTCTGCTTGTGTGGAAGGGTTCGGGCTCCAAGCATGGCGTCCGTGATTCAGGCGCGCGGGTGAGACGGATAGCACTGCAAGGTCTGTTCTTGGGGCTTCGAGACTCAAAGCCACGAGGACGGTCTTTGAAGCAAAGGAGGTTAGGGCAAGAGCAAACATCGCCCCATGCAGCCTCTCGCGATCACCGGCCAGAACCATAAACTCGTGATCTGCCTGCAGTGAATGTCGATCACGTACTGTACACGGTGCCTAACCTGCCCATGACTACCAAGCCTCGCCCTTGTGTGGCACATAATACAACTGGATCTGCAGGGGCTCGCGGCACTCGGAACAAACCTTGGCCAACAGCTTCAAAAAGGGTACAGTAGGAAATTCACAGGCATTCCAAGAACACACGGAGGCATGTCTGCTCTGGGGCCGGGTCTGTGGAGACGGTGCCCATTCCTGAGACGTCTCAGAGTCTCCGTCTCAGGGTGCAGTCCGAAATTTACATGGGCTGGGTCCTACGTGCACCGTTTGTTGTAGTGGCTGCCCCAAGTGGAGTTCTTCGTAGTCTCCAGCTCCAAAACACCTCCGTGCAACCTGGCTGTGCCGACCCTTCCCCCTGATGTCTGGCGCGGCACCCACAGCACTGCACATAGATTCGGCTGTGATCTCTGAGAACGTAATAATCTGAGTTGAATATCATTAATGAAATGCAACAAAAACACCAAAAGGGGGGGGGCGCACATGTATGTATACATGATTACATATAACTACACGTGCAATATATGTTGTATGTATAAGATTACATGCGAGCAGAAACATGACGGAACCCAGGTGAGCTAGGGGGATGGAGGCTGGCAAGTGTCAGCAAACGCTTTGGTACTGCTCCAGGCACATCGCTCCGACCGTCCCCAGTGCAAACAAAGGCCCGGGCTCCTTGAGGTTTCAATAACTGGGGTCTTCGGATTTAGAAGGCAATTTCCTACCGAGACTTATTGAGAAGGACTCGCTTCAGCAGAACTTATAGCTGGCTGCACAGCTAACTCGGTCGCAAGCTGCACTTCGAGCCAGCTGCCGAGGCGACATTTAAATGGGAGAGGGTGGTGACACTGCACGAGCATGCATCATGCACTTCTACACAGGCACACAAACACACACGCTCGCGCCTGCCTGCCGCTGTGTGCGTGCACGCATGCATGTATGTACTTAAGCAAAGGCATGTATGCATGCATGCATGCATGCATGCATGCATGCATGCATGTGTGTGTGTGTGTATTTTAATGAAATGTATATGTACGTGTGTGTGTGTGTAAATTATATGTCTATAATATGTCTGTGTCCATGTCTAGGACTATTTCTCTGCACATAGGTATGTATGTATGCACACACGTACATGCGCAAGCACATATTCATGCATTAATGTATGCATGTATGCATATATGTATGCACTTGCGTGAGTGCAACCATGTTTGTAATCGCATGTGTATCTACAAATGTGTATGATGCACATAAGTATCTATACAACCATATATACTTACAAACCAAAAATTATTCAATAAATATACACATGTATATATATATATATATGTACACATCCATACGTACATACATGCGTACATGCATACATACATACATACATACATACATACATACATACGTACATACATACATCCATGCATGCACGCACGCACGCATGCATGCATGCTTGCATACATACACAAGTAGGTGGATGCATGCATACACACATATACACATAATCACACATACAGACACACACATAGTACCTACATGCATACATATACACACAGACATACACATAAACATACATGCACACAGACAGACAGACAGACAGACAGACAGACAGACAGACAGACTGACTGACTGACTGACAGACTGACGGACTGGCATACAAACTACAAACATACATACCACAAAGAGCGTATGCAGACATACGTACATACATACATAATTGACGTACCTACAAAATGACATATATACAAGCTCATGTACCTACAGACCACGCCTTCATACACATGCCCGCACACGCGCACACACACACACACATACATGCATACATGCATTCGTACATACATATGCACACACACATCTATGTATACATATCCCATAAATACATTCATCGTAGATAGAAAGAAAAGATGGAAATATTGATAGGTAGATAGTTCGATCGACCGATAGATCGTTAGATAGGTTCAAGAGAGTTAGAAAGATAGTTAGATCCCACAGGCTCATACATCCAGCTGCGATCCACTGCGGCATACTCGGGGTTGACTTACGACCATGGCCCGGCCTTCTGCACACCTGGACGGACAGGAAAGTAAGAGAAGAATCAACATCCTGCTGCTCGGATAAAACACAGCTACCTCTAACCCCCCAGGTACCTACTATATAGGGCCTTAGGGGCTCTAGTACCCTATATAGTAGGTACCTGGGGGGTTAGGGTACTATATACCCCGGCACCCTGGCTGACGTGAACTATGGTCTGTTCATGTCTTTTGCAACCAACGGATGATGCAGGATTCTGTCCAAAGGGTTGTTGCCATGGACACAGACTTCTTCTATAGCACCTCAAGGTTGCGGGTTTATAAGCGCTTCGGGTTAAAGGGTTTAGCGGTTGAGGCCTCTTGAAGCTTTTGAAGAACTGACGTGCTGGAGCCTTGAGAGAAGAGAGATCAAAGCACCTTGATTCAAGCCAACAAGCCTCGAAGCATGTCCCGATAGGCTGCAGGCGAGACCCCGAAAACCTCAAAACGGCAGCCGTCAAACCCCAAGCTTGAAGGAGCCGATCCCCGCATTTATTTCTGACGATGACGTACAGGTGGTTCTCTGCAAACACCCCAAGCACTATAATCACAAGTCTTCCAAGAAAGTTTCGGCGCTGAGGAAAGAAGCTTGACAGCGTGTGACAGTGGTGGCGCCAAACATCAATAAATTGATGATTACTGTCAAACCATCTGCCCTGTTCATTCACAGCATCGCCGCACAAGTCTGGTCGCAAGTGATACCCTGTCGTATACGCATGGAACATCGGAAAACTGGTGTCTCCTGATCGGTTTTATTGTGGTGTAGTGGCCCGGGCGCCCCCATCTTGCAGCCGCCATTACGCAGAATCCCAAACCAGCTAAGTCGCTAACTCACCCAGGCCACAACCCCTAAAACCCATGCCGCAAACCCTTAAACCACTGAAGCCCAAGCCCTAAAGCCGTGAACCCAAAACACTACGGCTTGAGCCCTACCCTGAACCCGAAAGCCCTAAGTTCTAAAAACCCTAAACCCCCACAGAACCCTCATAGATGCCTTCAGGATCCTCGAAGGAAGCGAAGCCACGGGAGTTGGTGAGGGCCTTGTGCCGGGTGTACAGGTCCACCTCTCCGGTTGAGAGTTTCTGAGGGGAGTTTTAGAGTTTGGGCATAGGGTTTGAGGTTTCGAGTTTAAGGGTCTAGAGTTTAGGATTAGGGTCTAAGGGTAGAGGCGTGAAGAGTCTGGTGGAACAACTTGTCACAAGGCAGTAGGGTGATCGTGACTGTCTCCAGGGTGGATGCATGTACAAGGAATGGGTTCAGGGGTTTGGGGTTGAGTGCTCAGAGATTTACGACCCTGGAGGACTTCGATTGAGGGTTTACGGCTTCAGGATTTGGGCTTGGGTGCGGGATGACCTGGGCTCATGGGAGGCGAGCAGTCTTTCATATCATGGCAGTCTCCAACGTCTGTCACTTTCGCAAAGTGGGGCAATGCCTGCGAAACACACAAGGGTGACCGCGACGACGACGGTGAAGATAGTGATGATGATGATGATGGTGATGATGCTGATGCTGCTGATGATGGTGGCGACGAAACAGAAGATGCTGATGAAAGGACGATAGTGAGGGCGATGATGCTGCTGATGATGATGGTGATGCTGATGATGATTCGACGAATCATGCGCGTGCATTTCACTACCGATTTCAGCCCTGCAGCATCACTGCGAAGTGTTCTCTAAGCGGAACAGAAGTGAGTGCTGATGCCCCTGTGCAATCGCTGTTTTACTCTGCGCGCTTCTAGGTGCATGGCCCTGTGGCCTTACAAGAAGTCTGACCATTTGACCTGGTCGGGGCTGTGTCTTTGAAGAGCCCAGGATATGCGTCAGGGCCGGACGCTCTCCTAGGAATGGCCTCCCACTTAGGGGAGCTCGCGCTCGGAAGCGCGTTTAGCCGTTCCA